ACACATATCCAGGCATCACGCTGTCTCCATTGGTCAACTGGGACTGTTCCGACCACCTCAGAACATCTGCATTGTCCTCAACCTCTTTCCGAACCGTTCGTTCCATATACTGGCCTTCTATATGGACATCGACCCCAAATCAACACCATATAATGGACAATGCAATGCAAACAGAAAAGAAACAAGGCAAAAACAACAAAGATCGGTTAGTAAACATAAAGCAATTAAGTCGGGATAATAATTTATTCAAGAATCCTACCCACATGTGGCTACCCAATCATGCTTTATCAGATCCTACCCAACATGATATCTACCCCATGCTTTGTTATCTACAAAAAGAAATCCTAACCGCATGATATCTAATTTGCATGCTTATTCAAAAATAAACCTAACCGCATGATACCTAGTTCGCATGCATTTATTCGAAAAAAAAAACGAAAATAAATGACTCAAAAAAAGCTTTTCCTTGTGTACCCTCCTCACGGGATTCTTAAGGTTCGGGTTTAGTTCAACCTAAGTTCGGGCTCTACGTTCACTATATGCCGGGTTAGGTTCTAAAGCAATAGGTTCTCGAATTGTCCTTGCCGGTGCCCCTTTGGGCTGCCGAACCCTCAATCCTGGCCCATCACAGGCTTTAGGGGATCGAGTTCAATTTCGAGGGAACACACCTCCTTATGTCCATGCGGAGGTGATTACCATCACGAGGACCATAAGGCGTGAGCTCCAGGAGCGATCCACTATCCCATGCGGAGGTGAAAACCACACGAGGGCATAGTCTCTCACTCCTACTTAATAGGACGGAGCGGGGTTTTAGCTCATGTTATGATAATGCAGCTGTGCAGTGTGTGAGGAAAAGCGAAAAACAATCAATAAAAACACTCAAAATCAATTCCCAAAACACACAATCATTCTGAAATCATTAGCAAACAGATCAGTACGACTATTTAATTGTCAATCAAATTAAATTAAAGAAATCAAAATACAAACAAAACTTATTAAAAACCAAACAAGGGATCAAAAATCAAATTAAAACGAATTTGTAATTTTCAATTGCAAAGACAATTAATTAATCGACTATCGGCTTGACTCTCTAAAAAAAAGTCCCCAGTGGAGTCGCCAAGCTGTCGAAACGATTTTTCCTTAAAGGTGAAAAAGGTGAGATTTTGAAAACCACATTAATTCTTAATTGTCCCTTTTTAATTTAAAAACAAATGCAATTTAAAAAACCTCTCGTTTCGAAAAATTTTGAATTTCCTTTACGATCGAAAAATACGGTTCGAAGAGTCGCCACCAATCTTTGATTAGGGTGTGATTGGGCACCAAAAAATTCTTTGTCATTTTAAATAAAAATTAATTTTAATTAAAACAACAAATTGAGGTCTGCGTGATCAAAATCCGAGTTCGGGAGTCGATTACGTTTGGGGAAGGATTAGCACCCCCACAACGCCCTAAATCGGTACCTAATCGATTAATTAACGTATTTGCAATGAACTTTACAAATTCGAATTTATTTGATTTTTGATCTCATAAAACAAGATATAAATTTAAAAACATTCAAAAGCACTCAAACAAATTAAATTAAAATTACCAAGTCATTTTAGAAAGATAAAGAATGTTCGATTATTTACAAATATCGAGACCAGATCTTAAAGATATAACAACCTTTTCTTGATATATTTAAATAAACGAACATTTCTTTTTCTCTCGTTCCCAAATTTTAGGTGATGAATCAATTTTTTTGGTTTCACTTTCGGGATACACTTTTATTTTAAAATCATTAAAAGCGGACCTCAAATCAGTTATGACTGCCCACTTCAACAATTTTAAATTAAAAGGGTATTACCCTTAGTCCGATTATGTAATAGGTCGAGTTATGCAAATAAGGCTATCATGCAAATTATACCAAAGATGTCATGTAAAGACAAAATTAACTAAAATATGCCATGCACTCAAACAAACTTCTAACTCTTATAGATAAAAAAACAATAAAATTCATATGTATTTACAACACTAACATACATTAGAATAAAACAATATATATTCACATTCAAAAATTACCATGAAGGACCATAATAAATAAAATTAAACTAAGCATGCAAAGTAGGAATAAACAACTAACTTAAAAACAAATCTAAGAATGGACTATGTTAAAATAAATTTAAATTTAAAGAATTAATTAAAAAAGTCTAAATTATGACTAAATTAAATCTATGGACGAAAATAAAAATATTAACATAATTACATACCAAACGTAAAAATACAAGATATTAACTTGAATAATAATGGGTCAAAATAGAAACTTTTTAAAGTAATGAGCCAGAATCACAATCATTGCAAATTCAATTAAACACACAAAATGGACTAAAATAGAACATGCAAAACTAGAAGACCGAATATGCAAACAAGAGAAAATAAATACCCTAGCATTTAGGACTAAAATCAAATGTGCATAAAAGTTAAAGACCAAATTACGAAGCAAACAATACTCGGCTTCAGGACTAAAATGGAAATCAACAGCATACGCAGTGACCTTAAAATAATTAGCCCTAATAACCTAACATAAAACCTACTTTAAACTAACCTAATCCTACACTCATATTAAACCTAACCCTCAGCCGTTTCACTCATCTTCTCTATCTCTCCCTTCTTCTTCCCACGCTCGCACATTGCCCAAACCAGAAAAGGAAATCTACCGCTGCTCCATCTCTCGGCCACCACGTCTTGGTGGCTCTACTCCGTTCGATACCCAGTATAACTCCAAAGTTCAACGCCCACTTAAACTCGGCACTAGACCAAACTTCGATCCTATCCCTCTCTTCCCATGAACGCTTCAAGTTCTTCACACCGGCCACCGCTCGCCGATGACCACTCTCCATTCAACACGGTCTTCTACTTGACCACTCAAACAAAATCTCAACTACTCATCTCTCAATCCCGACGACACGAACGAATGGTCTCTAAGACTAAGGGTAAGTAATCTCTCTACTTCTTCATTTTGTTTGGTTAGAACATGCTGTTAATAATAAATGAAAATAGTTACTGAAATATGGAAATGGTTGAATACCTGTCGAAGAATATTCGCTTGTATGCTCTGTATATCAAAATGGAAACCTCTGTTTACTTTCCAAGATTGCTTTGTTCTTCCTTCTTGCTCTATTGTGTGAAATAAAAAATAAATAAAACTGTTCTCTGGTTTTCGTAATAGTATCTAATTGCTTCTGAAATTTGTTTTTTATTTGTTGAAAAATAGATGTTGAAGGAATCGTTTTTTTCCTCTGATTACAAGATGGTCTCCTCTTTTTTTTTCTTTCTGAAATTTGTTTTTTATTTGTTGAAAAATAGATGTTGAAGGAATCGTTTTTTTTCCTCTGATTACAAGATGGTCTCCTCTTTTTTTTCCCCCCCTGTTGATGAATGGTTATCTAAAAAAAAACTGACCATCCCCCATTTACAGTTTTTTGATAACTCACAATACCCCCCACTCTCTACAAACCGTTCCCTCTAGTTTTTTCTGGTTTCTTAACTACCCAGACAAATTAAGCATCTACAATATGTTTATTTTATTCAAGCAGCATTTTGGAAGCTGTTAACTGCATTGTTATTTCTCCAGGCTTGCCCCATATGTTACCCTGAGGAATTCTCACGAATCATGATGAACATAATGCTTCTTCTTCTGTTCCATTTTTGATTTCTTATATTTGGTTTTTGGTATTTTTCTGCTAATACGAAGATGTTCTATTTTGTTCATACTCATCTTAAACACTACAGTCGATTAGCTTTAGCAATAAATGAAAGGTCTTATTTTTGAGTGGAAAGTCCATTATGATGCAGCTGGTGAATGGTGACACATTCTTAGTTTTTCATTGATTATCACGTAATTATTAAAATTTTAATATTTTTATATTTATCATGCATATATCAACAATTAGTAGATTTAGTAAAATAAAATACAATTTTTTTTTAAATAATTCAAATCTTAATAGCATGATTAAAATAAATTGAATTAAAATAGTATAACAATTTGACATTACGCACACTCCTAGTTTTCATGGTGGTCGAGCCCGGGATCTCAAGAAATAATAACAATTTCTTTAACATCGTGATCGCTTGGTTTGTACTCTAAACATAAATTTATTTTTTTCTCCGAATGACCACTACATGTATTTATATAATTTAATTGCATGTTCTTTCAGATATTTATGCTTAGTAAATAAGGATTATACCGTAAGACCTGGAAATTTACAATTATATAAATACGACACTTGTAAATCTCACCATAATCCATTAATTAGTTACGCGCATAGTCAAACTTCTACGATAGTAGCCTCTTAGTGCCAATTTTCAATGCCACCGACTTATGTACACTTCAAACAAGCAATACAATTATAATTATATTCAAGAACTAGTGTAATTGGTCAAATTATTTTATTAGTCCCTTTATTTACATGTAAGTTATGGATTTAATTTTATACTTCAATTTAATAATTTTAGTCTCTATATTATTATCTTAACGTAAATTTTATGTTAAGAATGTACATATATTTTTAGAAGACGGAAATAGATTATTAATAAAAAATATAAAAAGAATATTTTTTTTAAAAGACGATTGTTCTGATGGGGGACATTCATTCCATCATTGCTTCGGCCATGTCTACTTGGAGACGCGCTTTGTGAAATGGGTTAGTCCAGCCATGCATACATTAACCATCTTGACTTGTTCTTGGCATTTCATGTTCAAAGTTGGAAAACTAGTGGGAAGCCAATTATTTTGCAAGTGGGGGTATACTTATAAAGGTCAAAATAATAAAATAAAGTGATGTCAAAGTGGGGAAGTTTACAGCAATATTTTAAAGCTTGAATCCAGTCTGTTATATTCACGGAAATGGAAGTGTCTCAAATGATTGAATACAAACACTATAAAAGGGTTTTAGTAATGGGATATTAGGCAAGTGAAAGAACAATACCTATTAGGTCTGTCATTTCTTGCAGCATAGTTTACTCGACTGCCAGAAATTATGGGAAACCCCGGTTGGCGGGGACTATGGCCACATTTGGTGGTTTATGCGGTAGCATTTTTGTTTATAGTCACTACTGGTCTAGCTGATGACCAAGCTTATGGGTACACTTCACCCCCACCACCTAAATCACCACCACATTTTAAGCGCATTTGGCACCCACCTCCAAAGCATTCTCCTCCTCCACCTCATTATTATGAATCTTCTCCACCTCCACCATCACCTTCACCCCCTCCTCCTTATGTTTACAAGTCTCCACCACCCCCATCACCATCCCCACCACCACCACCATCACCTTCACACTTCCTCCCTATATCTATAAGTCTCCACCACCTCCATCACCATCTCCGTCACCACCTTACGTTTATAAATCACCGCCGCCACCATCACCTTCACCACCTCCTCCATATGTCTACAAGTCTCCACCACCACCATCACCTTCACCACCACCTCCATATGTCTACAAGTCTCCACCACCTCCATCATCATCTCCCCCACCACCTTACGTTTACAAATCTCCTCCACCACCATCACCTTCACCCCCTCCTCCATATGTTTACAAGTCTCCACCACCTCTATCACCATCTTCCCCACCACCTTACGTTTATAAATCTCCTCCACCACCATCACCTTCACCACCACCTCCATATGTCTACAAGTCTCCACCACCTCCATCACCATCTCCCCCACCACCTTACGTTTACAAATCTCCTCCACCACCATCACCTTCACCCCTCCTCCATATGTTTACAAGTCTCCACCACCTCCATCACCATCTCCCCCACCACCTTACGTTTATAAATCTCCTCCACCACCATCACCTTCACCCCCTCCTCCTTATTTTTACAAGTCTCCACCACCTCCATCACCATCTCCCCCACCACCTTACGTTTATAAATCTCCTCCACCACCATTACCTTCACCACCACCTCCATATGTCTACAATTCTCCACCACCTCCATCACCATCCCTCCACCACCTTATGTTTATAAATCTCCTCCACCACCATCACCTTCACCCCCTCCTCCATATGTTTACAAGTCTCCACCACCTCTATCACCATCTTCCCCACCACCTTACGTTTATAAATCTCCTCCACCACCATCACCTTCACCACCACCTCCATATGTCTACAAGTCTCCACCACCTCCATCACCATCTCCCCACCACCTTACGTTTACAAATCTCCTCCACCACCATCACCTTCACCCCTCCTCCATATGTTTACAAGTCTCCACCACCTCCATCACCATCTCCCCCACCACCTTACGTTTATAAATCTCCTCCACCACCATCACCTTCACCCCCTCCTTATTTTACAAGTCTCCACCACCTCCATCACCATCTCCCCCACCACCTTACGTTTATAAATCTCCTCCACCACCAACACCCTCACCACCACCTCCATATATCTACAAGTCTCCACCACCTCCATCTCCATCACCTCCTCCTAGTTATGTCTACAAGTCCCCTCCTCCACGATCACATCCACCACCTCCTCCTTACATTTACAAGTCTCCACCGCCACCAATTCACTCCCCATCTCCTTCTTATGTGTATAAGTCTCCACCACCACCAGTCCACTCTCGACTTAGTCCCTATGTTTATAAGTCTCCACCACCTCCATTTCACTCCCGACCTCGTCCCTATGTACATAAGTCTCCACCACCACCAGCCCACTTTCGACCTCGTCCCTATGTTTATAGGTCTCCACCACCTCCATTCCACTATGAACCTCGTCCCTATATCTATAAGTCTCCACCACCACCAGTTCACTTCTGACCCCCTTCCTATGTCTATAAGTCTCCACCACATCCAATCCGCTCACCTTCTCCTCCCCACATTTACAAGTCTCATCCTCCACCAACCCATTCACCACCTCCTCACATTTACAAGTCTACGTCACTACCAATTCATTACCCACCACCTCGATACGTTTATAAATTTCCATCACCATCAGTCCACTCTCCACCTCCTCCCTACATCTATAATTCTCTACCATCTCATTCTCCTCCACCTCGTGCTCCTTACCATTACAGGTCACCACCGCCACCTAAAGTCTACTAAGAATGTGAGAACGTGCTTATCCATTGATTTACTTTCAATTCAGCCAAGAATAAAAGATCCTTCGTTACATTTTATTTAAATTTGTGAAATAATGTTTGTGAATAAGGATTGGATTATCCACCTTTTTGAAACTTATATGTATGATTTAATATTGTATCTTCTGTTGTAATGAATGTAAGTCATCATTTTCATTTCATACAACGGCATGCTCTCTTAATGAAATTTAATTCCGTACAATTTTGTGAGTGGGGTTTGCATAAATGGAAATAAACTCAATTTAGCCCACCACTACCATAAAATTTAGGATAAACTACATGTTTAGCACCTAAACCATTATTTTTATTCCATGTTAGTACCCCAAACTTTATTTTGTTTTAAAATCATACATAACATTTAATTTATATTTCATTTTTGTACCAGCCGTTAAAAACTTAACGGTGATGCTCATGTGCCATCATAAGGTAATGCCACCTCATCATTGAAAAAAATAACACGTCAACAATTCTATTAATTTTTTAACAGTGGGGTACCAAATTGAAACCTAAACTAACGTTAGGTATGATTTTGAAACAAAATAAAGTTTGAGTACCAAAACAGAACACAAATAATAGTTTAGATATTAGACGTATAGTTTACCCTAAAATTTAATGGAATTACTTAATAAAATAATCCATGTGGATGAGATGAAGAGGACGTCAGCTAATTATTTTAAGCTTACGAGAATAAAATTTCGAGAACATGTATTAGAGAATCCGAAATTTGATATTGTTTTTATGTAAATTATAAGAATAAAATGCATATATTGTTGATAAATAATTAATATTCAATATAATATAATGATTAAAAGTATAAAAGCATGGATTTATCAAATTTAAAAATTTCAAATTCATAGATTTTGAGAAATCTATAAAATCCAAATCCAAAAATCTAAATTAGGGTTTTGAATTTTTTTTAAATGTAATAGGACCTAATTTTTAGCTTTAAAAATAACAAACTACATTCCGCCATCTATTTTCACGTTTTAGTGTTGAAGTTGTAGCAATGGGACAGCCTGGGCTGGTTTATGCCTTGGGATTTTGTCTCATAATCTTAACTGTGGCAGCCACCTATACACCTGACAAGTATGCATCTCCTCCACCAGCAAGTCGCTATAAGTGACCACCACACCCAAATAATATTCATCCACCAACTTACCATTACAAGTCTCTTCATCTTCTTGTGATATCTATCTTTAAGTCCACTACATCATCAGTATGTATACAAGTCTCCACCATCACTTGTTCATTCTCTATCTCCTCTTTATGCATATAAATCTTCATATCTTCCCTATATTTAGAATGCTAGCGTAGTTTGTTATTTTTTGCTTACCGGGATGTAACAGCAAATTGGCTTGTGTGAATGCGCACGACGGGACGATAGCGGCAAGCTAGGGCTTGGAAAGATTTGGGCGGTGAGGAGCCAAGGAGATGGCCAATACTGGGGAGTGCCAGAGGACTGACACGACTTGGAGATGTGGGGACATTAATCCCACATCGGGAAAGAAATGGAAGTCCTGAAATTTAAAAAATGAGCTTCACATTCTATCAGGCATGTCTTTTGGGAAGATGTTAATGATTCACACCTTAGAGAAGCGGGGGTACATGTATCTTACATCAGAAAGAAAATTTGAGTTCATAGAGTTTAGCAGTGGCGCTGCACATCCTATCAGACATGACTTTCTGTAAGGAGTAATGGCTCCGTTACACTGAGGAGTAGTCTTTCCGAGAAACAAGATAAGTTGGGTTAAGAACTCTTTCTGTGTATCTGTTTGCTTATGTAGATTTTGGCATCAAGGACTTAGCCTAGCGAAGCCACTTACATTTTTGTATTCATCAACTTTCACCTATCATGTGGCTTGCTTGGACTATTATTACAGTCTAGGAATCCATTTAAACACCAGAAATGGAGTTGATAAATTACTAGAATGGTCTTGTTAGCAAGGGCCCGTGCCATGGTCAGACCTTGTTGAGATTTTGTTCTTCACTCATCCTCTTTAGCAGCCTCTGCTTGACCATTTCGAAAGAATGTTCTAGGTTCATCAACTGCATAATTGCAGACAACATTAGTGTTTCTAAATGTGTTAGTAGAAAGAGTTGGATGCTTTGCTTTTGGCTGGACACATACCTCTTGCTGAGCAAACCTGTTATGGATGAATAATCCACCGAACAGATCGAAACTGTCATTGACAGTGCTCTCTTTCTGCATTTAAATATCATTTTAAGCCATCTCTTTATCCGTTCATGCTTCCATGGCTCCTCTTTCTGAGAAAGTTGGAGCAAAATGGGAAAAACAAAATTGTAATGCTTTAAGACAACGCATTGTGAACTCAAACTTACCAATTTAACTAGTGTTTCGAAGCTTTTCGTGTTCATGGATGTCGATTCGATTCCCATTTCTGACAAAATCCTATCAAAGCAAAATGCATACATATTTATAATCAGGGATGAGGTGCGATCTGGTGAAATTTCAAATCCCTCTATTATAAAGTTTTTAATTTTATTTTTTATTGATAATTTAGTTTTGTATTTTTATTTTTTTTTAATTTTATGCCCTTAAACTTCTAGTATAAATTCTTAAATTCGCACCCCTAACATAAAACCAGAAGTCCATCCTATTTATAACAAGCATTCACCCTTCAGTTTTCGATTGAAATTTCATTATATCTTCGAGAAGATCCTCTCAAAATAATCAAATAACAATCAATACCGGAGACACCACACCATTTTCGAAGTCTACACTCCTTAATTTTTGATATGATCATTGATAGACTCAAATTAGATAAATGACAATACTATTTGTATAGTTTATCAACTTATTGACAGACATGATGACCGTAAGTCCGACACCAACCACTTTATAGAGGTATTGTTACTATGATCTTTATATTTATCCAATATCACAAAGGAAAGTTCATTTTAACACACCTGCCGATAGCATGGGAAAGAAATTGACTTCTAGCAGCCAGTTTGTCATGTTCTTCGCAGGACATTTCCACCATTCTGCAACCCTTTTTCCAACACACAGTAATTAATTCACAAAGACTCTTAACTCAGTGCAATCAACTCAGTAAATTGCAGTATAATTCAAAGGCTTTGATCTGGATTACCTCGGACTCAAAGATTTGTAAGAAGCTGGAGCACCTGGGTTCATCCCTCACCCGAACTCTCTCATACACAAAAGGAAGATCTTTCCACCCGTTTTTGCCACTTTCAGGTCCAAACATGGGATGAGTGCAGAGCACATCCATCTCCTCTGGCAAAACCTGAAAAAAAAAACCCCAAAAAAAGGAAAACCCACCATTTTCAACTTGCACAAAAGAAATATGCTCGTGGATTGAAGAGATAAAAAGAGAGAGAGAATAAAACAGTACCTGCAATAGAACGTTTCTCGGGTGTTCTTTAACCGAAAGCACGTCGACGAACAGTGTCCGGCGTTTAAGGCAATGTAAAGGCATTGACCTGAGCACCTCCGATAGAGATAGGATTGATGTGGATACCAATATCACATCATTATCTGCTTCAAGAAATGAAAGTACATCCCTGAAATTGCAAAATCAGAGGATTTTACAAAAACCAACATCCGTTTACAAATTAAAGTTAGAATAGAATCGACCTGAAGAAGGAAACACCCAATTGATGACAGAGGTGGGAATGATCAGTCCGAGAAGTAGCCCTTATGGTATGACCTTGTTTGATCATTGTCTTTGCCAGGAACTGCCCAAATGTGCCGAAACCCACGATGCCTACTTTTAGAGTTTGTGGAGGCAAGGAAGAAGAAGACATGGCTGACAAACACAGCAAAGAAATAGAAGAAGGTGAGATGTGTTTTAGTTAAGCTAAGAGTCGTACTTTAGTAGGTATATTATATGAGGACTTTGAGAAAGGCAACTCATTCCCCACTAGTTGGGTTATATAGTAAACAATCATTTAAATTATAAGATAAACTCTAAAATGATGAATTGGAACATAAGTTTACAAACCAATTTATTTTTAAGCTTGAAATTTGTACATTAATAAATTCATGAGTAAACTATCTATACTATCTATGTATTACTTAATTTCTATTTTGGTCAGCGATCTATTATTTAAAAAAAATAATACCTAATATTTCATAAAATTCATGGATATATCATATACTGTTTGTATGTGTTTTTTAATAGTCTAGAATAATTATAAGGTAGTATCTGTTTAAAATCTTTTTTAATCATTAATAACTCTCGCACGCTTTGTAAATATAACTATTTGAACTAAGAACCTCAAGAGAGAATAATATTATTTTTAACCACTAGAGTCACCCAATGAAGTTATACGATGATTGTATGTTTAATATACACTTTTAAAGTATTCTTAGTTGATAAGCATGCTATGATGATTTGGGGTGATAATTTATGCATCAACCTTAGATAAACCAAATGACAGTGGAACTGCAAGGCGAGTAAAGAAACTAGTACACCGAATGTAGTTGGTGGGGAAGGAGACCTGAAACTTGGAGATGAAATGTGATGGAAGACGCGGGGACATTTAGACGGAGGGAAAAACTAGAGATTACTTGTAATATGGAGGCGGTGGTGACTAGTACATGTATGGAGGTGGAGGAGGTGGTGCATAGTAATACGGTGGTGGATCACCATAAGGCTCGTGATCGGCCGCTACATTGTTGATTATCAAGCACAATGCCAAAACAATGCTAAGTGTTGCCAAATCTTGGCCATCTAGGGCAGAACAAGGCACTTGAAACTTCCACTACTTAGCACTTGAAACTTCCACTACTTTGCACTTGTATTCCATAATAATCAACGGTGAGTTTGATAGTTTTTATAGTGAAATCTCCAATATCCAAATGAATTTTAAAGGCTTAATATAAAAATAAGTGTCTAAATTATGTCTCGAAAAATATTTTAGTGTCTAAAGATTTTTTTGTTAAAAATAGTTGTCTAACGTTTTCTCTTTTATCATTTTAGGTACTCGGGCGTTAACGCCGTTAAAAATCTCCGTTAAGTGACATGTGTTACGTTCTGGTAATTTTGAGAATTTTTATTTAAAATAAAATAAAACCTTTTTTTTTTCAAATCTTAAAAATAATCTTAAAACTTTAATTTTAATCCCTTTGCCATCGTCGACCGCCACCAACGCCGTCAATCGGCCGAACACCCAACGACGTGTGACCGGCCAACCACCCATGATGAAAACCTCCATATTTTCGTAACCGGTCGAACAACAAATCTCCCTAAACCTATAAATTCCTAAACATAAATCCTTCATAACCCTAAAATGAAATCTTTCATTTACACCATTTTTGGGTGTTCGATCGGTTGCAAAAGTATGGGGATTTTGATCGTGGCTGGCTGGCCGGTCACACGTCATTGAGTTTTCAACCGATTAACGGTGGTGGTGGCAGTCGGTGGAGGCAATGAGATTAAATTAAAGTTTTAAAAGTTGTGTTTTTTTAAGCTTTGAAAAAAAATAATTTTTTAAATATATTTTTTATTTTAAAAAATGTCAAAATTACTAGAACGTGACACGTGTCACTTAACAAAAAATTTTAACAATAAACATCTAGACACTTAAAATGATAACGAAAAAAAATAATAGACATTTTTAACGAAAAAATTATTTAAGCGCTAAAACATTTTTTCAATCATAATTTAAGCACTTATTTCAGTATTAAGTCAATTTTAAAATAAGGTACGAAACTTGATTACCCTATTCCACCCATTAGTTTATTTCCATAAGATTGGTAATGAATGTGACACATATAGGACTACAAAGTAATATTTGTGTTCGATTTTAATTTTAAAAAAGTTCAAATGCAAATACAGATAAAATTACTTGAATTTGTATCACATAATACAAACAATATTTTCTTTACCACCAGGACCACTTAATTTTTTAAAAAAAATTGATATAATAAATTATATATTGATTATCTCTCAGTTATTTATATATTTTTGTTTAGGTAACTTCTGAACCAGTTCTCTCCTAGACCTTAATGTATTATTGATAACAGAAATTAACTACTTGTATTTGGTGTTAGGTAAATTCTGAACCAGTTCTCTCCTGGATCCTGTCAAAATGCAAACCGAGAGTTGTCAGTTTCTGGGTTTAAAATAACATTTAAGAGTGAAATCATCCTTTTGTTTGGCAAATAGGAGAGGGCCAAGGCTACTGATGTGTAGTGACAAGTAGATTGTTAAACTGAATCAATCCGTAAAATCATGGCATAATTGAAACTCTGCCTGCAATGGTACAGGCAATCCACGACCATCTCAAACACTAAGCTTTGGGTGGAAATCAGAGCTTGCAAATGGTGCTGTAAATACATCTAGGCACGCCATTCTGATTCGTTCTGGTGTTGCAGGATTATCGAGTGGAAACCACCCGGCATGACCCGTTTCTGCTCTGGCGGCTAAAATGGCGTCTTTGATGGCGAACAAAACAGATGAAGCCATAAAAAACGGAGGCTCGCCAACAGCTTTCGATGAATGAATGGCTTTTACATTTGGATTACCCTGCCCACCAGCACGCAAGCATATAAACAAAGACTTCAAATTATCTAGAACCAAAAGAACTACTTTCAAAATCAACTAATAGGTGGCAAAACACAAAGTTCCAGCTGCAACTGGAATAAGAAATGACCGTGCAACTACTGATATGAGGTTTGGAGAGAGAAAAAAAGATGATGCATCTTCAACGGAATATCGTTTAGAGAACCATTACCTTCAATAGAGAAACATTAAACTTGAAAGGAATATCGTTTAGAGACGGAATTTTGTAACTTCCAGGCCCGCATGTGTACAAGCAGCCAGATGGAATCCATTTATGAGATGCGTCGCCCCACTTAAGTTCTTCCAAGGCAACCCAACCAAGACCTTGGATAAATGCGCCTTCGACCTGCATTAAAAGACCAAATTACATATAGAAACATTAGCTTGTCGATAAGATAAAAAGTTAAGAATGGAGATTAATGACCTGTAACTAAACAAAAACAGGGGAAACAGCAGGTATGACTTTTATTTAGTAGACCTATCCCTTTTTTTTTTTACTCTGTTTTGAATCTTGTTTTAGAGATCATAACCCGAGATCACCACGTTTTTGTTAACCTTCTTTGGGAGAAACTTCATTATGGATTTTCTAATAAAGGGAAGCACAGAGAACACTATTCTCATTGCTTCCAAGTTCCATCCTTTCTGAACCATTAGTTCCTCTTGAAAACAATATTTGTAATATAACATTAACATTCAGAAACCCGGAACATTATATCTAAGCTGAAGTGATGTGCATATTATGGCTCGTTTCTTGCATATATCATCAAGGTGAACAGACATTTCAACTTGAAAAGTATAATTAAGTTCGAATGATCAGTCTAATTAGAAAGAAGCTAGGGAATGAACCTGGCCAACATCTATTGCAGGGTTGAGAGAATATCCTAGATCCATGAAAACATTTGCTGTTCTTGTGTGGAAATCTCCGGTCAATGTATCAATTTCAACCTCAGCGAATGCAGCCCCATAGGTGTAATAACTGAATGGCTTTCCTTTACCGGTGCTCCAATCAAAGCCAATATCAGGTGTGATATAAAATCCATGGGCAGAAAGGTCTATTCGCTCCAAGTAACATGCAGAGACCAGCTAGGTAAAATTAAAAGAAAAACAAAGCATGTCAGAAATATTGACTTGCATTTCTTCACTAAACAAACATCAACTATTGACTAGCACAAACAGTTCTAGTCTAACCTCCGATCTTAAAAACTATTTAATCAGCTAAATTATCAACTTCGACTGCAACCTTCAATAAAGGTTTACCACTATTCAATGGGAGAAGGTTGGGAAGAAAAAGTGTTCTAAGGAAAAGAAATTATTCTTTAAAATAGTAGTGTAGACAATAGTATGCAGTAATTAATATGCAAATTACAGAAGAAATAATACCTCAGCAAATGAACTAAAATTACACTGAGAAGCAATTGGTTCCATCCGTGCCTTAATCTGCTCACATGCATCCAAAGCTGCAGCTGCATACATATCAGAACTAGCAGAAGCTGCTGTCGGTGAAGCATTAGGAACCTAAACAGCAGAAGACAGATGCAACATGGAATTAGAAAATAGGTTATTATGGAAGTGGTCTTTTAATTTTCACCAGATGGATGACTAAACATAAACAGAAGACGGATACAATTCTTGACTTGAGAAAATCTTTTATGGACTTGCTACGATTAGTGATGTGCAAGCTTTATTTTGCAAGATCAGTTTGTTAGATTAGTTAGTAACCCACGTTTATATATCGTTTCATGTTTCAATAATAAAATTTTATGGTGCAATTAATGTTTTTATCATCAATTTCTACTCGACACCCTTGACCTCTGCTAAAATACATCTGTGATTTTGACAGTCACCTACACATAATAAGTAAGATTTATAAATATAATTAGATTCAGTCTTTGTAACTTCTTATTCTATGGTTATGTTATCATCTAACTGAGGCCAAATACACATGAAAGGCTGACACTAAATTAAAAAGCTTTTGAAGACAGCTAATGATAATAAAACAATGTTTCCATCAAATAGGTAGAAAATAGTAATTCAGGTAAAATATGAAAAGAAAGAATTGCCGAATTGCAATCTTAGCTTTCTACCTTGTCAGTACTTGTCTCTGATATAAAGACTGAACTGAGAGGGATATTGAAGGCAGATGCTGCAACTTGAGCAACTTTTGTATGTAAACCTTGCCCCATCTCAACACCACCGTGTGTAACTAAAACAGTACCGTCAGTGTAGACATTAACAAGTGCTCCCGCCTACAGT